CGCATGTGGGGGCAAGGCCCATGTGGTGGCAAGGCCAAACCACAAGCCCAGGACCTCGCATTGGCCTAGCATGGTGATGGTCACGCATATGGGGTTGGGTGAGCTATCATAGCTACTAGCTAGACGCTAGCATGATTGGGCTAGGCGCTAGCACATGATAACATTGCTAGCATGCTAGAGCCCAACCGTCTCTAGCATGTTGTGCGCTCATCAAGGGGCCATCACTGCTAGCCAGCCCTTGCGGCAAGGCAGCTAGCTAGCAGCGCACACAGCCTAGTAGGCTTGCACTAGGCCTATAGTGCGTGCTGGGAGACCTTACCGAGAGCACAAGGCAGTTAGGCTTTCAAGACCTAGCTGACCAAAAGTGGCAAGCAACCCTTTTGCCTTGATCTCCAAGGGATGGGTGGTCCTCCCACCTACCCATTCCCTTGTAATGTTCTATTTCTCTTTGGTAAAATGCAATAAAAGTTATCATCATTGGTAATCTTTTATTAATTATACTAATTTAATTATAACATTATAACTTTTTAACCATGGTTAAGTTGCTAATGACAAATGAAAAATAAAATGACATAATTGCCCCATTTATTTTCTACACACCCATCTCTTTTAACTTGCATTGTTTAATCATCTTTCTTTCGAATCTCTTTCACCAAAGTAACCATTCACAACCTACCTAAATCACTAACAAACATCTCCCTCCTCTGTAGGTCCTCCTTCACCAAACACCAGATTACCACAAAAACGACTACCAACCCAATGTGTGGTTCCTACACCTAGGTGTATCATACAAGTAGGGATGGCAGTGGGTCGGGTTAAATGGGAGATCCGTCCCATCCCCGCCCAAATGGGGCGAGGATGGAGGGAGGTTTAGCAGGTGATGGAGCGGAGATGGGTTTAAATGTGTACCCACCATGGGTGATGGAGTGGGTATGGATTTTAGAGTAGACCCGCCCCATATCCACCCCGCCCCGCCCCGTACCCACCTTATACCCGCACCATATTTCTTTTAGAAGAGTTTAGAATTTATGAAACTTGATACCCCTTAAGACCCAATAAGCTTGAATAGTGAAAGTCCTAATTTTCTTAACCTGATTTGATATAATTATCATTAATTTGATACAATAAAGCATCATGGCAATGAGTTTGGGACGATTTTGGGGCGGGTATGAATATCCAAGTGGGTGATGGGGTAGGGATGGATCCTATCTTGTATCCGGTGGGACGGGTATGGATGTGGATATGTATTGTACCCGCCACGGGTAGTGGGGCGGGGATGGGTATAAGATTTTTTGGCGGGTATGGGTATGGAGGTAGCATCATCCGCATCCGACCCGCCCCATTGCCATCCCTCCATACAAGTGTACCATGCCCTTGATCTAAACAACATGCCCAAAAGAATAAAATGCCTGCTAATTAGAGCAGAGAGAGGCGGAAAAGAACATTAGGTATAGATAAAAAGAACACGACATTAAATATAAATATTCAGTTTCCTTTAATTTAGGAAAAGATAATTACTAATTGATTTTTAATTACTCACATATTAACTGTCATATCTTTTCAAAATATTTGACTTTTCCAAATTCGTTTTTTTTTCTCTTCATATTAAAATATTCAAAATTTTCATAAATAAAATGTTCAAATTTGTATTTGGAATTTTTTTTCAATAAAAATAATTATATCCCTGTATTTGTTTTTTAAAAAATTTCATATTTTTCACTTTAAAATCCTCTCTTTAAATTTAATTAGTTTAGATCTTGTGATGGTACTCTAAATTATGATCATGTGTATCTCATGTAATGTTAATTAGATGATTTAATAATGTTCTTTATTGGAAAATATGATGTACTTTATATTTGTTTGTAATGTATAACTAGATAATAATAGTATAGAGTATTATTTTTGCATGTTCGTTATTATATCATATATTGTATGTTCATTATTCGATCTTTTGGTAAACTATTTTAAATATGCATGTTCATCAATTGTAATCATAATGTACTTTTACTATCCCATAACTAACGTTCATTGCTTGTTGTAAATTGTTATTTAAATTTTTTCTTATAATCATAGTGATTAATTAATGAATTGTTCATTAAATGATAGTATCATGTTCTTTATTAATAACAAGAATGTCCTTTATTAATATTATGGATGTTTAATATTTGAAAGTCCATCATTGTCCCAAAAACTTCATTCTCATCATCAACCTCGGCAATCCTAATTACAAAAAAGGGAAAAAAATTATTAGATGATATTCTAAATTATTATAAAACAATAAAAATTCAAATAACATAAAAGACCATAAGGATAAATCAAAACAATATGGATACAAAATAATAATAATAATAATAATAATAATAATAATAATAATCATAATAATAATAATAATAACAATAACAATAATAATAATAATAATAATAATAATAATAATAATAACAATAACAATAATAATAATAATAATAATAATAATAATAATAATAATAATAATAATTAAAGGGATAACTAGACAAACATGTTTACGTATAATACTCTATTTTTCTCTGAAAATAAAAATAAAAATCAAAAGAACATGAGCATGAAAGTATAAGAATATACTATTAAGTAGAAAGAACATTCCTAGTACTATCGAAACCCAAAAAACATTTTTAATTAACCTATACCTTAAACAACATAATTAGTAATGTAAAGATTCAAATAACATATGGTTTAAACACAAATAACATATATTAATCAAACTAAAAAGTTTCCATTTCTCTTTACAAAAATATGGATCGAACAAATTAAAAATATTAACTATAGTTTGAAAAACATCATCTTCAATTTCTGAAATTAATACAAATTAGACTTAGAAAAAAATTCAAAAAATTAAAAATAAGTGAAAAATAGATACTTTCAATAACGAATTTGTTAACAAGAATCAATGAACAAATATAAATTATCATCAACAAACATCAAAATTATGAAATTTTAAATATAATTAAAAAATCTAAAATTACCTTTTAATGGGGTCACGAATCACTACTACAAATCCCTTAGTTTTTGGACGGTATTGACTCGACGTTGTGAATGTGACGTCACTGTAGAAATAGATTACTTTTTTTTTACGCTTTTATGTGCAAAAATAGTTTCGTGACGAGAAAAGGCGTCGACAACTTCGCTTGATTTGCACGTGACTCAAGGCAACCTAAAAACAGTGTACAAGAAAAAAAGAAGGGAAATTCCCATTGATACACTCCAGGTATTGACTTTTCTCAGCGGTACCACATTTTTTTTTGACTTCCTGCTGATACACTTGAGGTTTTGACTTTATAATTGACGTGATTAAGTCTGTTAATAAGACGTTAATAACTTAGTAATTCTAGGTTAAAAGCTGAGATTAGGTGAAAAGACTAAAATGCCCCCTTTTAATCCTTCCCTCCATCACCCATAATTAAACCCCTTCCCCTTCCATTTATGTCGATTTGACACAAAACAAACTCGTTGTTCAAATTTCATCTCTCTCTCTCCTCTGCTCTCTGCATCATTCACGACGAAGTCCAAGGGTTTTGCAAGGGAATTGCGCTGATCTTTTTGGTCTACAAAATCATTAGAGGATAATCTAGCACAATTCAGGTACTTTAGCACTACTACTGTTCATTTTTGCATGATTTGGTGCAGTTGTGATGTTCTTTTTTCTTTGCGATTTTAAGTTAAATTCATGATGTAAATGTTGTATATTTGTGCGATTTAGGGTTTTTTTCAGGTATATTAGGTGCGTGATTATGTGTGTTCAATTATTTATGTAGAGTATGTATTTAATTTGGATGAAATGGCATGATCCTGTTTCATTGATTTGTTTGAATTGGAATGTATTTGCTTATTTGATTGATTGTTGGATACCTGAATTGGGATTTATGTGCATGTTATAGGTAATTGGATACCTGATTTGGAATTTATTTGAATGTTGTGGATTGTTGGATATGATTTTGAATTTATATGCATGTTGTAAGTGTGTATACTGTTTACCTTCTTTTGCAGAATGGGTGATGTTGTGTTAAGGTTTTATTACTTTGATAAGCATGTTGATCTTGCTGTTGACTTAGATAGATCTAATTTGCTTGATTTGGTTATGGATTTTGAGGACACTGCTGCAGTAGACTCTGAGTTTCATATAGTCAACCCATCATTTGGTTATGATTTCAATGAAAAGAATCACCCTTTACTAGATTATGCTGATCTTTTTAAGATGATTCACACCCTAGGTGAGTGTGAGATTTATCACATTTGGGTAGGTTTTGCTAAGAAACCAAGTGCCTTGAATAGAATGACCAATAGGCTAAGGAACAAGTCCAAATCTGCACAACCTTTTGCTGCACCTTCCCAATCTGAACCACCCCATATTGATCAAACTTCTGATACTGCACCCTCAAATGAACAACCCCCTCAAATTGAAACAGATCAACTTGTTCCTGAAACTGAACCTCCCCTTTTTGACCCTTCCCAAACTGAACCTCCCCTTTCTATTGAGGATATCAATCTTAATAATGAGTCCTCTCCACCTAGGTATACTGAGGGTTATGAGTCACCCCAAGATGAAACAAATCAATCTGCTACTGAGTATACTAAGGGTAGAAAAGAGTTTGAGAAAAGTATGGAAAAGATAGAGAATTCTAGGAAGGTTAAGGGTGCAGCAAAGGGTAAGAAGAAAGCTACAACTAAAACATCCCCAATGCAACCACCATCTCCCAAGTCTCCAAACACAGTCTTCAAGGGTTTACCACTTAGAAGGAGTCCTAGATTTTCACCTTTGGCAGTAACTGACACACCTAATGCTTCTGATGCTGACCCATTGACAAATGCTTCACAAACAACTATGTTTAGGAAAAAGGTTCCTAGATCAACAGCTATAAGAAAGGGGTTAGTGAAAGGATCAACTGTGACTGAGAAAAGGATGCTAGGTGTTGGTGACAGAGTGAGTCAGCTGCAAGGATCAGTTTCTAGGGTTAATGTAGATATGAGTGAGGGCAGTAGTGCTGGGGACAATGTGGGTGAGGTGCAAGGCACAAGTGATTCTAGAGTTAGAAGAAAGATGACTTTTGTTGTAGACAGCTCTAAGTCTGTAGAGACACAACCCAATCCTGGTTTCAATCTTGGTGAAGAAGATGAGGATTCTGATGGAGATGTTGCACCAAAGGGTTCTATTCCAGCAGATGAGCTAGCACAAGTAACTAGGATTCCAAAAGTGAAGGACAGTTGGAAACCATCAAAATGGTTTGATTTTTTTGATGATGAAGATGATGAGGATTGGTGTAGATGGAACCCACCTCAAAGGTAACTATGGGGGGGTATTGCTCTCTGCTGTGGGAATAGATGGCAATAATGAGATCTTCCCCATAGCATATGTTGTAGTTGGCCAAGAAGACAAGCAGTCATGGACCTACTTCTTTTGGCATTTGCTGAACATTGTAAAAGATTCATCAAGAGAGCATTGGACTATTATTTCTGATAGGCAAAAGGCAAGTGTTTGTTGCTTTTTTCAAATTTTCATTCTCTTTTTTTTTTATATGCAAACATACAAATGCTCATGCTGTAATCATGTTTCAGGGAGTTGAACTTGCACTAGAACAAGTATGGCCAAAAGCTAACAGGAGGTTCTGCTGTAGGCATCTAAGTAGAAACTACAAGAAGCTATTTCCAGGCCCTATGATGTATGTTCTATTCTGGAGAGCATGCAATGCTTCTTCAGCTTTCACATTCAGGAAAGCTATGGAGAAGTTGCAGAAAGCAGGAGGAGATGATGTCATGACTTGGTTTGCAGAATTGGGAGAGAAGTCTAAGTGGAGTAAGCATGCATTTGACCCAAATGTTTGCAATGACTCCAATACATCCAATTTTGTAGAGAGCTTCAACTCTACTCTAGGGGTGAATAGGTGTAGGCCTATTTTGACTTTGCTAGAAGGTATTAACCCACCTCTTACTGTATTAACATTGTCATTTTATTCTGATTTGGTTTGTTTTTCTAAGTAAGATAATGTTGTGCAGGAATAAGGAGGGTATGTATGGTTAGAATAGCAACAAGAATGGAGAATGCAAAGTCTTGGAATGATGAAGACATAACTCCAAAAATTGTGAAGCTAGTGAAAGAAATAGGAAAAGCTTGCTCAAAATGCAGAGTATTCAAGTCCAGCCCAGGTGAATATGAAATTCATGAGGGAAGATCACAATTTCCTCTCAGCTTAAACAAGAAAGTTTGTTCTTGTGGGGCATGGCAACTGACATGTGTGCCTTGTAGGCATGCCATTAGGGCTTTCATTGATGCCAAGTTGGACCCACATGACTTTGTCAGTTCCTGGTACTCTGTGAAGACTTATAAGCAAGCTTACAGTGTCTGTATCAACCCAATTCCTGACACAGAGCAATGGCCTGCAGATGAGTCAGGTAGAATCATCATGCCTCCTAAGATGAAGAGGGGAATTGGAAGACCAAGCAGGAACAGAAAGAGGGAAGAAGGTGAGGAGCAACCTGGAAAAAGGTCAAAAACAGTGAAATGCAGCAAATGTGGTTGCTTTGGGCATAATAAGACAATCTGCAAGGGAGGCTTAACAAGAAAAGATTTGAAGACAAATGAGCCTGTTGTTATCAAGAACCCTAGGGTCAGAGACCAAAGTAATGCAGCTAAGGCAGCTAAGGCAGCAAAGCAATCTGAAGCACTTGGATCTCAGTCTGCAGCAACTCAACCTTCAGCATCTCAAGCAGCAGCTTCAACTAAAAAACTAAGGGAAAGAAGGGCAGACCCTCAGCTGAGCAACAAACAGTGCTGACAGCCTCACAATTGCCTAGCCAACCAATCCAGATGTCTCAAGGAAACTCTCAAAGCTAGAAAGTGTTCTGTTTTGCAAAGTAGTAGAAAATACTTTTTTTGGTGATTTGGATAGAAAGTCAAAATTTGTAGTCAACTCTATATGTTTTGAATTTTTTTGCTGAACTTACATGGTAATGTTGAAGAATTATGCCATTTTGTCTATATTAAGAATGGTGGCCACATTTTGAATGATTTTCCAGACTTTAATGAATGTTGGCAACTGATGCCATTTTGTTCAGCTTGTTAATTTTAGTTGATCTCAATGATTGATTCATTCAAAACCAAGAAAATACAACCTTACTCAATCAAAATGCAAATTATTTTCCATTTTCATTCAAAACCAAGAAAATACAACCTTACTTTTATAATTTGTTCCTAGTACACTTAGTCTTTGAAGTACATGGCAACTAAATACACAATGCTCATTTCAGGGTTACAAACAGTAAAATAAGATACATCACAAGAGCAATTCTAACAACCATATAAACATAGCTTGCAAACTCATATGCTTTGTCTGTGAAATCAATAAATTCCTCTCTTAATACTCTCAAATTGGATGATTCTTCATGATTGGCTATAATTTGATCTTCAGGAACCCACATGAACAAACCACAATGCCTGCACTTGTAATATGACCTCCCTGGATTCGAAATTGAGTCAGACACCCTAATATCAGCAAGTCTTGGTGGATTACAATTGCATTGAATTCGTCTCACCCACATGGACCTCCCAAATCTGCTGCCAGAAGAGGAACCACTGCCTGCAGAACCAGCCATGTCAGAATAGCAGGGACCAACAGAAATAAAAAGAAAAGAAGAAGAGGTGAGCTCGAAAAAATGGAGGGGAAATTTTATGGAGAATAGAAGAGGGAAAGTGGGGTTTTATAGGGAGAGAATAAGGGTTGGGAAGTTGGAGGTAAATAACAGCAACATTAAGGGGGAAATTTTGGAGGGAAATGATTAAAAAAATGGGGGTATATTAGTCATTTCATCTATTACTAAGCCTAAAATGTGAATAAAATAAGTTATTAACGTCTTATTAACATACTTAATCACGTCAATTATAAAGTCAAAACCTCAAGTGTATCAGCAGGAAGTCAAAAAAAAAAATGTGGTACCGCTGAGAAAAGTCAATACCTGGAGTGTATCAATGGGAATTTCCCAAAAAAGAAATATCAAAACCGCCTTATACCCATAGTTCTAAACGCATAATTATCTATCTTTCTTCTCTTTCTTTCTCTCTATAACTCTAGATCTCAGCACTTCAAACAATTTAAACCTAATTGTTCATCATTACCCTTCATTTTTATACGATCTCAGTTCACCTTTTGAAATCGCATGAAATTTAGCGAATTTGGGTGGAAGCCATGATATAATTTCCTTCCTCTCCTTGTCAATTTCTTCAATTTAAGGTAATCTCATTCTTCTCCTCATCAATTTCCATGATTTTGTGCTAAAACACCATTTAGATTTAATTTGTTACATATAATTTTTGTGAAATAGCTTTGAATTTGTAGTTATTGTATAGAAGTAGAAAGTGATTGTATTGAAATGTAGGGTTTTTTGTATGTCGTGCTGGGTGCAGGGAATTTATCATTTTTTTGTTGTTAATTTTGTTTAGACTTAGAAATTCATGTATTTTTTTAATTTTGGGTATAATTGAAATTCTTTCAGAAATTCTTTGTGGGTGTTTCAATTTAGGTTTTAATTGCTTAGCATTAGTACACATATATCTCCAATTGTTCTTCTTTTTCCTTTAATCTCTAGTTTATGTCCTTAAATATCTATGTTTGGTTACTTATCTGAGCTAATTCATAGCATTTTGGTATTCCAAGGCACGTCAAAATAATATTGAGAGTGAAAAGGGTATTAAATAGCATCTGATTATTGCATAAATGCTCCCAGCTGCGTGATGTCAAGGATCAAAAGCAGATTTAATTTTTAGTTGGCTATTTGTAGTGTTGATTACAGACTAGATTTACCTAGTTTAGAAGCTCTAACTGTTGGAGCCAGTTTAATGCATACTTGGTTGAGGACTTCAGGTTTTGGTTTGTAAGTGCATGTTTTGATACATATTATTCTTGTTTCAGGCTGGTTTCTTCTATATCTCATTTTGCTAATAAAGTTTGCTATTGTTTCGACACTCTCTACAAACTGGTTAGTGTCCACTAAGGTTTGCACCTCCTGAATTAATATGCTATATATAATCCTACTTGAAAAAACACAATACATATTTAATTGCTTTTATCCTACTTGAAGGATTATAGTACATATTTGATCGCTCAAATCCTACTTAAAGGATTATAAATTTACAATATAGATTTGTTTGCTTGAATCCTACTTGAAGGATTACAAATTTACAATACAGATTTGTTTGCTTGAATCCTACTTAAAGGAACACATGTTAAATTTTAAAAAATAATTGCTTTATTTATAGTATTAGTAACTGATATTCACTGTTGCTTGTTCATTACTGATCATGCACAAATAAATATTCTAGGGAATTAACAAATTAAAAGAGTATTATATAAGTTTTAGGGAATTAACAAATTAACTGATATGCCCTTGTTTTAGCACCTTTATATATGAAATATCATGAATGTTAGTCTATTTTGTAACTATTTAGATTTTGTACTATAATTGAATGGATAATGAAGAAGGATATACCGATATATGTCTATCTCGGCTCATTAATGAATCAGGTCATGAACATAGTTCTTATTTAGTGTGAAATATTTGACTTTGATATGAAAAGCTGGTTTGATTGTTTAATTTTTTCTGCTACTTGGCCCCTTCTCTTTCATCTCTCTCTCGGGAATTTTATTTAGCTCTTGTTTGTCTTCTCAATCTTTCTCTTTTTTTTTATTATTATTTTTTTTGATCTGTTTGATATTACTGGATTAATTTGTCTTTATTAAATACAAATTACTATATAGATTCAACTCAATTTGTTCCGATTCAATTCAATCATTACTTATTGTTTGTAGAGAAAGCTTCAAAGTTTGTTGATTTGGTAATTGTAAATTTTATGCGTGTAAGGGGTTAAGATTTGTGTATTTAGATTCAAGATATGGTGGATGACTCAGAGAATGGGTAATTGTGGAGGGGACATTCCATTTGAAAATTAATTCTTGATGATTGAAGCAATAACCACTCTATTATCTCTAAATGGCATCGACAACCTATGTTATGATATTACCTATTTTATTGACCTAACTCTAGAGCTATGCTCAAATGAATGCCCAAGGTGAGCTCAAAATATGCCTTGAAATTGTTATGTCAAACTTAATTACTCACTTATTCTGTATCAATTTTACATATCATCGAAATAACACATGTATCGGTTGGCATGGCAGGGTGAAGTTGATATTTTTTGTGGGACTCGTGTGCTGTATGTGGCTAGTAGTTTAATCCTTTTTGTTGTATGTGGTGTAGGAGTTTATAGGTACTAATTGCGGAATAAACATGAATCACATTCATACAGTACCTAATCCCAAGATCTAATGCATAACACATAAAGAACATATAATCGTACCTTTGAAGCGTGATTCAACGTGCGATCGAGCAAGAGCAATTGGAGATAAAGAACCCCAAGCGTGATTCCTCTACTTGGTCTACGGGCACAGATTAAGACCTCTACTAATGCTATTTGTTGCAATTGATCCCTTCAATTGACCTCTACGGAGAAGAATGAGCAACGAACCACCATGAACCACCACGAACCACCACACGCACCACCAAGGGTGGCCGGCCGTACGGACAAGGGGAGGAGAGAGATAGCCGTGAGATAGAGAGAGGAATTAGGGTTTTTTGGATTGGTTGCCTTGACGTCAAAATACACTGTGTGTGAATTATGATTGCTTGCAAGCAACTCTAGGCATAGATCTTATTTAATTTATAAATCTCGTCTCTAAATAAGAGTCCATGTCAAAAGCCCAAAACCTAATTCTCATCTAACTATGCTAGTCTAATCCATTTCATGATTAGTTAAATGCTCATGAGGCCCATTAATGGGCCTCTAACTTGCTTAACCTAATACCCTTGTGTGACCTCATAGGATCCATTCTAGCGAGCTTTGGACTATTTGACTAGTCAAAAGGTCATCTCTCATAGTCTAGCAACAGATGATGACGCCCCAAGAGAAAGAACTTATTATCTCCATAATAGTGATCCTTGATATATCTAGTAATTGCACTTATCAAAGACACAACTCCTTCATGTGGGTGTGTATTGTACTTTTATTTTAAGAAGTTCTACAGCTTTATTATTCATGCTGATATTAGATATAGAATTACAGTGGAGTCCTGCTTCTCTCCTTAAATTGATGAGGTCATATATTTTTCTTTGAAGGATGGTTGCCGAATTCTTAACCTTGAACATATTCTTTTGGTGTACATGGTTTATAGGTCAATAATATACTTAAAATTAGGGCCTGAAAATGGATGCATGTAGGCTGTAATGTTAGTTACGTTTACGAGATATTTTAACTTAGACTGTTAGATATACATGTCTGGAATAATATGCTTTAGCTTGCATAACAAATGTGCAGGCCATGGCTCCAATGTATGTTAAATTTTGAGCCAATCGTGACATATTAAATACTAGCTAATGATGTTTTGTCTTCCGAGTATGAATGCCTTGATACTGTTGGCAAGTTTTCTACTCCGTAATTGCATAGGCTTTGAAAGTTGGTTGTGATTTTAGTTTGATTAGGTGAAAAATGTTTTTAAGAAAATGTATTCTTTATGTTTTTTGGCATATCGCTCCCTAGTGTTATTAATTTTGGTATATCTTTTTTGTTCTTTAAGAAAAGCTAATTTTGGTATATTATTTTATTTAGATTTGTTTGGTGATGTCTTGATGCAAATGCTTAACTTAGTGCAGAGTCAAAAAATTATGTGACATGTATGAATACTAAGACGCAATAGAAAAGGTATATCATCTAATGGTGCAAGATTAC